AAAAAAAGAAAGAAAAAGAACAGGACTACATAATTTTCGATGGTATACCTTAATTTTATCAACTGTCCTCGTTTTTTCTGGTATATTTTGCATCACTTTTTTTTAGCAAAAATCTAATCATTTCTCGTGTTTTTTTCGGCTTTAATCAGATGAATAAAGTCTTTTAGGTAGAGTCGCAATTAATTCTACTTGTATGGTAGAGTTGCAATTAATTGAAATCACATAGAAAACCTCAAAATTTCCCTAAAATAATGCAAATGGTATTTAACATGATGTGACCGTGTGGAGCTCAATTATAATACTTGACATCTTCGATAGACAGAGGAGCTTGGTACTTGATATGTTCGGCAATTATGATACTTGACATCTTCGATAGACAGAGGAGCTTGGTACTTGATATGTTCGTCATATGTGGTCTGCGCCACCTCCGGAATAATCCAAGCCGGTCAGGGCTTGACCCTGTTGGTATTCGAAGTTCAATTCAAAAGACCTTTTGTTTTTACGCTCATTTATTGCGCATTGTAGTCACCCGTTTATTTTGTCATATGTTACTTCTTTATTAATCGTGGTCGAATTGGACATCCACACACCGCAAGTAACACTAGGTGCAAGCTAGACAATGAATTTATAATCCTTTCACAAATTCATTCAAAAAGTTTGAATGTAAAACAATTTACTTTTCAAAAAAATCGAAATCAAGTTAAATCCTCCCAATCCAAACGTAGTCTTAGTCTTTCAAGTTCGCATCATATTATGCAAATAGAACATAGAAGCACCCCAAGCCCAACGGGGATTTCCAGAAAAAATTTCATCCAGCCCCCACTGGTTTTAACCGTCAATTAGATCAACACACACCCGTGCGTATGCGTGTATGTGTGTGAGTGAGTGTGGTTTGACAACTAAAACCCCACGGGTAGGATCGAACCTGCTGGATTTCTGTCGGTACTAACGTTAGCATAATTCCTGAGATCTTGGCCAAAAGCAAAAGTAGCAGTCTCTTTCCATTGCTCGATCAAAGTAAAAACTGCTGACTTTCTCTGAATTAATTACAATGCAGCCCACAATCATGCTAAGAATACAGCCCTACCAAAGTCTATTACACGGCAGCAATAAAACATTGCTAATTATGGCTTCTCATGACAGACCTAATTGCTAACACCTGTATGGCATCTGGCCATAGTATAATGTATACACACCTTGATCAGTCGACTGCTAACATGAGAATTTTCAAGCTCACTATAGCTAGCGACATCCAGTTACTGGAAACTGGGCATTCTTCAGAAACTGCCGGCTCTTTTATTTACTTTTGTTTTTTTCTGGAAACAGAAACTGGGGAAAAGAAAAATCTCTAGGTAAAAGAACTACAACGAGTATTTCCATTTCAAGATACTATCTAAAAGCATCCATCGTGTCTGCAGACAAATAACAAAAATCAAATGCACTGGAAAAGAAGATACCAACTCAGGTGCTTCCTTCGGGTTCCTCGCATTCCAACCCTATCAAGGCAGAAGTTAGTGGTTCCTCGATCCCATTCACCCTGCTGTTATAATCAAAACCAAAGAAAGGTAAGGAAAAGAGAGAGAGAACAATGCTATGCAGGTTTTCTTGTTTTGCTCAATCAATTCAAACATAAAGCTGTCCTCAACAAGATTATTCTTATCTTTCCAGTGCAAAAAAAGTTTCCAATATTTGCCCATGCAAAAACACATTCTTTTCCTGCTGATCAATTACATTGGTTATTAATGACAGTTAACATGAGTAATATAACTCGAAGATTAAAATAAGACAAATAAAAAACAACAATAAAAAATGAAAATACACATTTATAATAAGAAACGAGAATATGCACACCAAATATTGGTGATTGAGGTTCGATGACATGCTAAGGTCCAGAATCATTTGAGTCTACCTCAGTGAGCTCTATGCAGATCTCCAGTTTAAATTGCTAACCCCATTCTATTGTCAATTTTTACATTAATTGGGGATACGTTGACCAACTTAGAAAGGTTGAGGAGTTTACATGTTGACTATAGTCAGGTATCTTCACCCTATTGCTTTCATCATTTTTAAAAGAAACTAGAGAAATACCTCAATTTCATCTCAATTTCAAGCATAAACCCATTAAGTACAAAAAATAGTATGAGACGAAGTCATAGAGAAACTTACTTGCAAGTTTTTTTATTGTGCCCTAATCCCTTGCACTTGCTACACTGTAGCTGGCGTTTAATAATATCCACGGATTCAACTAACTTCAACTTAGGCCTCCCAGGCGGTCGTTTGGTAGGAGGAGGCGTTACAATAGTTACTTCCTGCAGCTCACTTTTCTCCGGTTTCTCAACATTCGGCATTGGGTTGATTGACTCAGCATAAGTCAGTCGATAACTATCAGCCATGAAGAATCTTGAGCAATAATCGTAAAGGCTCCTCCCGAGACATTCCAGAACAGCAATAGCATGGCAGCAAGGCAACCCACTCAGCTGCCAGCCTTTGCAGCTGCAGTCCCAATTATCAATGTCAACATTATCGACCGATTCACCTCTAACCTCAAAAGTACTACCGTGCGAGAGTAAAACTTGAAGGGAACTTGCTTTTGATACCTCCTGCTGAAGTTTACCCTCCATAAAGGGTGTAAGCCTTGTAACCCACTGGTTTGATTCGAGCCGCCGCCGGTAGATCAGCTCCATAATCTTTTCACGCAACACGTCAACCATCTGGGTTATAGGCAGCTCATCTACCTCAGACACCCAACTGTAAAACTGCTGGCCAAAGTTGGAAGTCATATGGCCATATCGGGCCCCGCCGAAAAACGCGTTAGCCCAGTGATCCGGCTCACTGTTCACAACCCAATTATAAGCCTCGACTGAGATAGCCTTTATGTTCTCAACACACCGTTCGAACACCTCTACTTTCGGTGCATAGGCAGCCGCATAGAAGTCTTGAACCATGAGGCGTCTGGCATCATGAGAAAACTGTCCTTTCAAATCCTTATTAAGCTTTTCGGCAAGACAGCGTAAACAGTAGCCATGATAGCACTCCTTACCAAAAATATTAACTAAGGATTCCCTAATGCCTTTCTGAAAGTCGGACACAAAAGTAATTTGCTCTGAGGCCGAGAGAGAAGATTTCAGTTGAGACAGGAACCAGTGCCAGTTATCCTCGGTTTCCTCATCGACCACGGAGAAAGCTACCGGGAAGAAATCATCATTACTATCAGCGGCCATGGCAGCCAATAATGTTCCCTGATACTTGGAGTAAAGAAGAGTGCTATCTAGGAAAATAAGAGGACGGCACTGGAGGAAACCAGATAAGGAGGCATGAAATGCTACGAAAAACCGGCGAAAGCTAGAATCTTCCTTGGTGCTGAATGTGGCGAGACTACCCGGATTAGTCTCCATTATCTTCTCACAGAAAAAAGGTAACTGGGAGTAGGCCTCTTTATAAGAACCCTGAAGCTGTTCTCTTGCAATCTCCTTGGCACGCCATGCCTGTGTATAGTTCAGCTGAATGCCATAGTCACGCTTGATATCACTGGCGATGTCCTTTGGCTTATAATTCGGAGAAACTTTCAGTTTCTCCTTTATGATGCTTCCTATCCATCCCCTAGTTGCCCTATAACCAGCCTTCACAGTGGCCCCTTCGCAAGTATGCACGGGGTTCATTTTCTTTATACATATCAACTGAGTGGTTGTCAACCTAGACGCATATATTCTCCACGGACAGCTGTCTGTTTTGCACTTGGCGGTCACACGATGGCTATCATTTTTTTTATATTTGTATGTGAAACCATGGGCAATGGAGTACTTATGCAATGCCTCACGGAATTCAGCAAAAGTGTTGAACCTCTGGTCGACACCAGTGATGATATTTTCCCACTGAGTTGCTGCCCGCCGGTGCTTCTCCTCAATGCCAAGAGGACACGAGCCAAGCGGTGTAATATCAATAGGCTCGTCCAAAACAATTGCATCATCAGTTTGCATAACATCCACAGGGACATCCGTGGGAATTTCTGCCTCAGACACAGTTGTCCTGCTAGACCTGAGTATAGAGAAAATGACATTTCAAAACTCTAAACACATAACTCCATTTCAGTAAACAATCAAATCCCAATGCCTTCAATCTAGCTTCAAGATATAAAAAAAAAAAAAAAAAAAAAAAAAAAAAAAAAAAAAAAAAAAAAAAAGTGTCACAACAAATGACATTTTCCTCGATTTCATTCAATCTGAGCAATAGCATGTAGAAAAAAAAAATAGTTATGGAATTACAGAGGAGGGTTCTGGAACTACCTACTGGCAGGCATGTTGGACATGTTCCTAGCACCAGCTTCTTCAACAATTACAAAGACCTCAACTTGATCAGAGTCCTTGAAGAAGTTAACCATTCGTTTGAGATCCTTATCCTTAGATATTGTAATTAAGGTCTTTCTGTTCCCCGGGAGGAAATATTTGAGCGCCATGGCATCCGCACTGCATTGAAAAGTCTCAGCAAGTTCGTGCTTGAAATCTTTCAACGGGGTCTGCTGGTCGAGGTCCAGGGCATACGCGTCCCCACCCGTATAAAACAACGACCCATCGTCCTTATTGGTCACGAATTCCCCTCCAGATTGGCATATGGCTATGATTTTTTTGGCTGCCATCACCGAATTGGCCAAAAGATCGAAATTAACTGCACAGACCAATCTACAAACTTTTATGCAGGGCGGAAAAAATTCTCTCAGAATCAAATCAACCCCATAACATAGAAATAAATGCATCATGAAACGATAACATTTACAACAAACATGGAGAAGACAAGACGGTCGCCCCTAAGAGTACAGTACTCCACAAATCTACATGGGGGTATAGATACAGATGAACACACACACACACACGCACACACACACACACACAAGCACACACACACACACAGACGAACCCATACAATAGTTGATAACAATACACAAACTCTAACAAGAAAAGCTTCAAAGGATAACATAACAAAATCTTGGGAAATTCGCAGTAGAATTAAGAAATACCTATGGGTTTTAGGCTGTTGCAGGAATTGAATTGAGTGAAGGAAATCGACGGAGGTGAGATTAAAGGTTGCGCCCAATGTGCATGCGTTGAGAGAAGGGGCAAAAGGGTTTCGGGGTAGAGTCTGAGAGACAACACAAGGGCCCTGTGGGTCAGAGGGCAGACTACAAGTTTTTAAGTAATCTCAACCGTTCATTCTCATCTCCTTCTCCAGATCTTTTTTTTATTTTATTTTATTTTATTGGATAAAATCTATTTTTATTTTTAATCTTTTAAACGTATGTTTTTTTTTTTTCACAATTGAAAGTATTATTTTTTATTGCTCAAAATTAATTTTAAATGATATTTGTTTGTAACTTTTTAGCTCATTTGGTATAATATGATTATCAATAGTGTATAATCAATTATGTAATGCTTTTTTGTTGATGGATACTAGTTTCATTTATATAATTTTTTTTTCTTATATATATATAATTTTTTTTTTTTTTTT